AGTCAAATCAGCATGAAGAAGGTTGTTATAATAATTGAAGATGTCTAACAGTGTACTGGGCATGTGGAGAGCCTAGGGATCTCAGATGTGGGAGGGAGTGGGTCTGCTGATGTGGTTGTGAGATTTTGTACCTGAGATAGATTAGATGAGAAGACCTTCAAGATTTTTATACAATTTTTAAGAAATTAAACGTAGTGGATTGTCAGTTTGGGGAATACTAGTATTTTTCTTTGACCCTTTTATTTTTCTCAGATTTAAGTAGATACTGGAAAGTATTCTTGAGTAATAAACGATAGACCCATTTTACATATATTCATATTTAAAACTGTTTAACCAGAAATTGTGATGTCTATTATTATCTTTCTTTTTATTTCTTCTTAATTTCATCATTTTGTCTTAGAAATCAATTTATTAATTCCACGTTCATGTGCTTCCCTCCTAACTTCACAGCTATCATTAAAAAGAAACCTGGGTCCTCATAGGATGTGGAGTGTTCAGTTGACAGTCCAGAATGTGGGAGGGATCCAGGGAAATATGTAGCCGTGTGCGCTCACCTGTGACCATAGAAGCACTGTTAAGATGTGCCCAGATGGAGTTCTTGTGGGTTTTTCTTCTATGAAGTGGGATTTTTGTGGCCCAAGCAGCAAAGCAGTTCATGAATGATAGGCCTTCTCTGGTGTCACGCATCGTGTTCACTGTTTCTGCCTCCTTTTGCTTTCATTAGGCATAGAACTTTTACGTATGCACACACAAGTTTTTAAAAGGTGAGAACATACTTCCATATAAATCACATCCCATAAGTTATCCGGATAGAAATGTGTATCGGGCAGAAATGTGTATGTTGATTTTGGTTTGTGTGTATGTGTGTGTGTGTATCGATACTTTTGCTGAGGGAAACTAATAGAGAATTCAAGTTTCAGCATAGATAGATGGTGTGCCTCATGAATGTACTGAGCTTTTTTTCTTTTTCTTTTTTTGACTCAGCTTTTCACAGGTGGATAAGGTAAAGCACTATCTGCGATGTGTGAAGTACTTTTTAAAAAGTGAGAACTCCCAGTGGAGCCACAGTGGAGTAGGAGCAGGTCAAGTGCTTCCTTTCTTTACTATTCAGCCAAGAGAGACCACTTAGCTATTCTGAAGCCTTCCCTAGAACTGATCATCCCTTTCTTGTTTTCTGTTCACTATGATGGAACTCTTGTCCTTGTACCCTAGTAAGATCTCACATCTGAAAACCCTGCTGCAGGCCAGTTCTGACCAATTCGTCATTCTTTCTGCTGCACGCTACCTGAGTGCATCTTGGTTCATGCCAGGGTGACAGTGAACTCAGCAGAGAGAGGAAAAACATATAGTGGTTTAAGAATATGGTAAGGAAAAGCAAGTATTTGAGTAGTTTTTCTCTTTGTTTTGGTTTGTAGTTTTGAAAAGACTCAAACTCCCACTTTTATTTTTATTCCAAGGGAAGCAGTTTGACAATTAGAAGCGTGGTCTTTAGAGTAAAAAAAGATCTGATTGGAGCTGTGCTTTGTGACCTTGGACAAATTACCTAGGCATGCCAAGGTCCATTTTGCTGACAGGGTTGTATGGATTAAATAATACAGTATATGTAAGAAGCTTGTTATCATTCTTGTATTATCAAGGCTTTTCTGGTATTTCTTTGATTGTTAATTTTCATAAAATACATATTAAGCTTCATATTGAATATGATTTAATATTTTTAATAAACTTGTCTAGAGTCTAAGATTTAAGATTTTAAAGAGGGCTCAGGCATGATTTGTTTCTTAGTGATAAGTAGTGGGCAGTTGAAGATACTTATGACATGTTCTATGAGGAAGTACTGAATGAAGCTTGTAACAGTAACAGCCCCTTTAATTAGAGGACCAGTTAGAGGCATCATTCCCAAGGCTGCCTGGGAAGGGTGGATTTTCTGCTGCATCTGAGTGGCCCTGGGTAAAGGAGCCCATGGAATTCCTGAATAAAGGGAACTTGGAAACTAAAAAATGCAAGTTTTTGTTTTGTTTTGTTTTTCCTATCAGCAGTTGACCTATTGCATTCTAATCATATCAAGTAGGAGTTGAATTTTCAGAGGGAAAAAAATGTTGAGAGAGTTGCATTATCTGTCAAGTTTACATGTTTTTACTTGAGAGAAACGGAAATCTGTGTATTCTGTCAAAGTAGTTATCTGTATCCAGATTTGCTCTCTTGGATGCTATCATTAACCATTTAGGGTTAAACAGTTTTCTCTTCTCCTACCTGGATTTGGTATATTATTTGTTTATCTTTTAAAGAAATCACCTTTCTATATAAATTTATTTGAGGGCAAGAATCAGCTTTCAAAGTACACATCAAAATATGCACCTAGCCTCACAATAAATATACATATCTTAAATGTTTATAGATTTTTATTATAAAATGTAATTAACTTATTATAGATCATTTGAAATATACATGAAAATAGAGGAAAAGAAATCAAACACAGTTCCACCATCTAAAAACAATTATCATTAGCATCTTGGTATATTTCTTGCCAGATACTTTTCTATTAGTGCAGAGCATTATGGTAAATACTCATGATTATGAATATGATTCTCAAAGATTTTAACATGCTAGGGCCAGAAAATGATAGTAGCTGGGCCAAGTGTGCAGACATAATAGAATCTCAGGTAAGCTCTACCAAACTTGAGTTCCTCACCCCAGGGCTCTCTCACCTCTGCAGTGGGAAATGTGGTTTTCCTTAAGTGGAATAAGATTGTAAAAGGGCCAAAGCTGGTTTGGCTCAATGGATAGAGTGTCGGCTTGGGAACTGAAGGGTCCCGAGTTCGATTCCGGTCAAGGGCATGTGCCTTGGTTGCGGGCACATCCCCAGTAGGGGGTGTGCAAGAGGCAGCTGATCGATGGTTCTCTCTCATCGATGTTTCTAAATCTCTATCTCTCTCCCTTCCTCTCTGTACAAAATCAATAAAATATATTAAAAAAAAAAAAGATTGTAAAAGGAAGATAGGTGAACTCAAATTTTCAAATTGCCCCTATGGTAGGTAACAAGGACAATAGACTAACCCAGTTTTGCTGTGCTGTGTTATTCCTGTACATAGAAAAATATCATTAGTTTCAATAAGTCCAAGTTTTGAATATTCATCTTTTTACCCTGAATAGTTCTCATTAGGGATTAAATTATTATCATTAACTTCAAATGTGGAAATGGAGACATGAGAGCATTGAGATTTGTTTGCATATACAAATATTTTGCAGCTTTTATCACAGCCCTGAGTCATGAAAGACTGTTTTCTATTGAATGATACTTTTATCATAATATATATATTATTTCAGAGAGGGAGAGGGAGAGATAGATAGAAATATCAATGATAAGAGAAAGTCATTGATCAGTTGCTTCCTGCACACCCCACACTGGAGATCAAGCTCACAGTTGGGTATGTGCCCTGACTGGGAATTGAACCATGATTGCCTGGTTCATAGGTTGATGCTCAACCACTGAGCCATACCAGCTGGGCTAGTAATATCTTTATTTATAGATGCTTTCTAGTTATGGACTATGCATCTGACTTTTTTCATGCTAAGTCATACATTGTTCTTATGGATATACATATGTATATATGTGTATATGTATATGTATATACACACACATATATATACTGTATGTATGTATATACTGTATATTGCTGTTCTTTCCATTACGAAGCAAAGACTAGGGCAGCAATATTCAACATTTTTCATTTCATGGCACTCATAAACTAATTACTGAAATTCTATGGCACACCAAACCAAAAATACATTTTTTTTTTTTTTTTTTGCTGAACTGGAAAAAAAATAGGTATTTATTCACAGGATGACTGTTGTTGTGTTGGCTGTTGTCATTTTTCATTTGACAATCTAAGAGAAAAGAGGTCAGTGCCCCTGACTAAATAATCAGGTATTGCATGTTTTAAAAATTCTTTAAGCACACCAGTTGAAAACTACTGGTCTATAAGAATGGATGCAGTTTTGGGAAATTTGCAAGATTTCCAAAGATCACTTGTATTGAGAGATGATTTCATTGTAATCCTTCCTGATTGGACATCTCAAACCTATGATTCTCATCTGCAAAGTGAATGCTTTTATCTCGTTTCCCTTGGCTCTTGTTTCCAGCTGCATGCTTTGCTCAGGTGGACTTCTTTACTGAAGAGAAGAGCATAATATTCTTCTTCTAGTTTGCCTAGCTCTTTGGCATTTAAACAAGCTAGAAACATGCATAAATTTAGCAAAGGATCAGGGCCAAAGGGATGACTGAACTGGCATCGTTTCATATTTTTCATGCTTTGTATTTATAGTAATAAATTTCAATCAAGGAAATAGATTGCAAGGAGTATGCTGTATTAGGAAGGAAGTTTGTACACTTTTGTGGCTTAATGGTATCTTAGTATAACCTTCTTCCCACTTCTCTAGTTTAGTGAACTGAAACAGATAAGCTCCTGAACTTTTGAGTTTTCATGTGTCTGGCCAGTTAAGGAATACATTTTTTAAAATTACACTGAGCTCCAGAATTATTGCTGGTTATTTGTGACTTTCTTTTAAGGAATTTCCCTCCCATGTGCCTTCATAGCTCCTACATCCTTAGGCTTTGTGATGAATTGCATACGTTGACTTGAAGAACAAATAGTATCTGCTGTTCAATAAGAAGATTACAATGGTACAATAAAATTGTTTTCTATTCATTGAGGTCTCATGAAGCTTTAATAATATTGAGGAATTTTTGGTTCTATGATTGTCTTTCTTTTTGAATCAGCAGGTGGCTACAGCTCAGAATAAATGCCAGATTACTATTTATTAGCAACAATATTTAAATGATGGTGATGATGATAACAAATAGTAACAGCTTATTATCAAGCTAAATGCTTTCGGGAATGATCTCATATTTCTCAACAACCTTTTTTAAGTCTTATATACTACAACTATTTCCATTTTATCAATGAAGAAAACCACTTTTTTGAGAGCTTAGATAACTTTAGAATACAGGTAGTCCTCGGGTTACGTGGGACTCAGTGTATGTCATTTCGTGGTTACGTCGCCATCTCCCATTTATTTATATAAAAAAAAAGTTCTGTCATTTCGATGTATGTACATATGTGCTTTATGTTTTTTATTATTTATTTACCTCAAGTAAAGGTCAGGAATTGTTATATTTCTTTTAATTTTTTTTTTTTACTGTTTCACTTCATTACTGCTGTGTATGTGCTCCATCTGAGTGACGTAGGTGCTTAGGTAGGATTATGGCAAAAATCGCGTTATGTCACCATAGGAACGGATCTCAGATGTAACCCGAGAACCTACTGTATAGGTTTTAAAAATCTAGAGTAAAAAAGTGACATGAGGAACTATTCCCCTTAGTTAAATATTTTTTCTCTTATGTATTCCATCAATTAGAGATTTTTGAGAAAGGGCATGTTATTTTAAAAAAGAGAAAACCCCAATAGAAGTTTTTTGTCTTTTTTTTTATTAGTCATATACATGTAGTTAATTTGAATGAGCAAATTGGGTTATTAGATTTGTAGATGAAAGATAATGTAATTTTGGTTTGAGATTTAAAGGAAGGGAGATGGATAATATAGAAGTTTATTTTAAAAGAGAGACAGGCTAGCAAACTGGCTTTCTGTGCTCAAGGACATAGGGTGGAGCAGGACATTGAAGACAGACTCCACCTACTGCCAAAATTTCACCTTTTACCCCCGTGGAAATTTTCTTTTAGGCCACTTTGGTGGCACAGTAAAGTGTATTGCTCTATTGAGCTGCCAAATAAATTACATTTACTTTGAAGACAATGAAATATTAATTTAAAAGAGTATTTTAGATTTAGAAAACATGATAATTAGCATTTATTATCCAGTAGGGTCTCTGAGCCCCATGAGTAGGTACTGAATTATATTTATCTTATGCCCAGAGGGCCTGGGACAGTGTCCAACATGGTAGGGACCATATAAAGATTTTTGAATAAATGAATGAGTCAAGGAATAATTGAACAATGTTTATAAAGTTCTTCTATCATCTACTAAGCATCTGCCTATGATTTTAAAGAACTTCATTTTTTGCAACATAAAAAAATAGGTATGTGAGCTACCTTTTAGTAACAATATTCATTGATATATATTGCAATTGTCCTTATCTGTAAAAGAGAACTTGGTAGTCTGGTTCATAAAAGAAAATGCACAATTCGGTAGAGTTGGGACCACACGTTCAGACACAGACAGTCCATTCAGACTTGCAGACCCCCGCCCTGTTCTGCATCTGGATTGCAGCCCAGACTGAGGTTGGGTGGTGGGAAGAAGGAAGCCGTGTGGTTAAACCACTTGGGATAATCGAAAGTTGACCATACTTATTTTTAATTTGGCAGCTGCATTAACTTTTGCCTCAAGTGTGAGTTTTCCCTGGCTGTCTTCACACTGTGGCCTGCTCACCAAAGGTGACCTGGCCTAGCCCACAGAGGAGGCTAGCCTTGGCTCCCTTCTGGCCATTCCTTTGCCCATTCCACTGTTTTCCCTGACCTGGCCATGCCCTCTTGTATCAAGGAATTGGATCAATTGCAGTGAGTGCAAAATAAGAAAAAATAAGACTGAAATCACGGAAGTAGGACCTCAAGGATACCAATAATGAAATTACAAATTTAACATGGCCTGAGTTTGGCCATGTTAAAATTTTTCTGACTTCTCTAATTGCTTTACATACTTTGATTGAGACCCTTAGAAATTTCTGGTGGGCAGGTGATATTTGAGTTTATGAATGTATCTGTCTAGAGTGGATGGAGCCGAAACCAGTTTGGCTCAGTGGTAGAGCGTCGGTCTGCAGATTGAAAGATCCCAGGTTCGATTCCGGTCAAGGGCATGTACATTGGTTGCGGGCACATCCCTGGTAGGGAGTGTGCAAGAGGCAGCTGGTCGATGTTTCTCTCTCATCGATGTTTCTAGCTCTCTATCCCTCTCTTCTCCTCTCTGTAAAAAATCAATGAAATATATTTTTAAAAAAAAATAGAGTGGATGGAGATGAGCATGTGCCAGCTGCAGGTTATGTGTGAACATTTGTGTCAACAGGAGAGCAAGGTTGTGACTATTCACTCTCACTAAGGACAGACTGCAAACCCAAATCTCCAAGGATGAGCTAGTGAACATGATCTTGTTTATGATGGGCCTATTTTTTTTATTCTTTTTCCATTTTTTATCTCAAGTTGATGCTGTATCATTGAAATCTGACAAGGCACATGGGCATAGTTTCCTACCCAAGTCAAACCTGAGTTAGAAGAACTTTAGCTCTATGGTGATCTTATTTTATTATTTTCCCTGGTTAAAGGGGCCTTCATACCAAATAATTGTACACTGAATATTTATTATTGCTTGAGTACAGTTCCTTGGAAAGGACATCCGGGGTTTCACAAAGGGATAGTAATATCCACTTTCCCTTTAGCACATACTAACAACCTTGCAATTCTGGTGGCTTGAAATATGGTCAGAGTGCATGTTACTCAACTTCTCCTGGCTGCCCTGCTCTTCTCACTGCACGCACATGGTGCCCCCTCCCCTGCCAGTCAAATAGTGTAAGGCCTGCTGATGCATCAGGCATGCATAAGGACTTACTTATTTATATGTTTCATGGCTGTCAAACTAATGACCTGCCTGACTTAAAAGATAGCACCACTCAATTTCATTGGAAGTGTTGGAGTTTGGAGGCACCCCCATAATTAAATCTAAGTCTGCAGGTGGTCAGCCATGTTTCAGCTGCTTTTTTCTTACAGGCGTGTGAAGGGCATCATTTCATGATTTTGCCTAGGCCTGAGAGAACAGTTGATTAAAAATTATAAATTCGTGAATTATATCAGAGAGAGAGAGTGGGTCCCACCTGGAGATCAGAAGAGGATTCAGCCTTATGTTCTACAGTTTATCAGGATCTTCTGCTGCACTTGCCAGCCGTGAGCCCTGCTTCTGGCTGAGCAGCTCTCCCCCTGTGCGAGGGCACTGACCTCCAGGAAGCAGCTCCTGCATTGAGCATCTGCCCCTGGTGGTCAGTGTGCATCATAGCGACCGGTTGTTCATCCTGTTGTGCTGCTGTTCCGTGGATTTGCATATTATGTATGCTTTTATTATATACTAGAAGCCTGATGCACGAAATTTGTGCAAGAGAAGGCCTTCCTTCTCCCAGATGCCAGCACCGGCTTCCCAAATGAAGTCCAGTCTAATTAGTATATTACCCTTTTATTGTTATAGATAGGATAGGATATTTTATTTAGTACGTTGAAAGCCAGTATAGGAAATGGCACTGAAGTTATCTACTTTGCCTGCTAAAATCAGCACCATTTGTGAAATAGGCCTTAGTTCCCATAAACTCCCTTAGCTCCCAAAAACTTAACTCCTATATGGTTAAAAATTTGCAAAGCAGTGTACAGATGAAGAGACTGGCTTTTTCTCTTTCCCTGATACCAGATAGTACTAGATACTCTTTACAGAAGAAATGAAGTATAATGACATATTTATTAAAATTTGTTTCTCAGTGAATAAATTTCTTTTAAAACGGAAAAGAAGTATCTAAACAGAATTTGTATTGTTGCTTTAAATTGTGTTTTTAATGAAGAGAACTAAAAAGTACATTTGATGAATTCTTCAACACTGGTGAAATGCTAAAAATGACTTGTACTGTTATTTAAGTATAAAATATTACATTGCTTATATGAATATAATATATATGTAACACAGCTGAAAAACTTCAATGGGGCCATGTCTGTCCAGTTACTGGTTATATAATGCTGTAAATTTTTGATAAGCAAGTTCCAAGTTTCCTGTTCCTAAAACAGAAGCATTAAAGTCACCTACTGTTGAAGACAAAAGGCTATAATTTTTTAAGGAAACATCATTTTATATATATTTAGAACTAGTTAAAATGTCAAAAGACTAGATTAAAAAATCAAAAGACTAACCCCATTGATAAAAATTCACTTTCTTTGAAGCTAATTAATTAATATAAGGCCTTCTCCAGTGATGACCACTGAACATAAAAGACTTTTAAAGTCTAGCTCACCATCATTGTAGAATGCAACTTGTTCTAGTAGGTGAGATAACCAATTCTCCATATATCAAGCTGTAATAGAACAAGGATGATAATATATGACATGTAAGTGACTTCTTTTTTATATTGCCTGTGCAAAGCAGGCCACTAACCTATTTCAGTAACATGAGGTTTGAAGTATTTCAGAACTTGTCCATCCCTTTCCCATGTGACTCAGAATCAGGTTCTTCCCTCAGCTCTGCTAAGGTCATTCTGACCCAAACAGGGAACCAAGCAGCTGGACATGAGGACACAGACTGAGATACATGTGTTCATCACTCACATCCCTTGTTTTGGTTAAATAAACCCTTGGCATGCTTGGTGGGTTATTTGCCAAGAGCTTGATAATTCCCCCAAATTGCTGATGTTACCAAGTGCAAGGGAAAATATTTGATATTTAATAACTCCATAGTGCTAATATACTCTGTAATAGTGTTACTTGGTACAATTAAACCTTGTGATAGTGGCTTCTTGGTTCATTTTCTATCCATCATCAGAGAGTTTGGGCCTTTTTGGAGCATCACCATACACAGTTCACAGTGCTGTGTAGTCCACATTTCCAGGAGTCATATATGAGGTTTGGGTAATAATCCAGTGTGGTCATCATATAATCTTTTCATAGAAGATACATTTACATAACTTTGGAAGCTTGCCCTTCATGGGATGCCCAATTCAGTACTGTGGGTTCCAGTTTCTGCCTATTACCCTCACAACTCCTCTAATTATAAAAATAGGTGTATATGAAAAATACTATCTAATAAAGAGGGAATATGCAAATTGACCATCATGCCATTGCAAAGATGGCATTGCCCATAGCCACAAGATGACAGCACCCAGACCCGTCAGCCTCACTGGAGTCCCACAGTCCTTTCAGCCCAGTCAAGGGGGAGAGGGGCATGGCAGGTGCACAGTGTGGCCGGACCCTCCCTCAGCACCCCCAGGGCCGACCCGAGGCACAGGCAATCCTTGGATGGCGGCTACCCAGCTGATGCCTGTGATGCAGGCAAGCCTTGGATGATGGCTGCCCAGCTATCCAAGGCCACTTGAGGCTCATGTAAC